CAAAATCATATACGAAAAAAGACCTCATTTGACGGACTTAGATTCTTTATCCTCAAAATATGGAGGTAGCGCACTTCTATTATCTCTATTATTTTGAAAAGGAGAGTGGTTCAAAACATGGGCCCTTGATGCGCATGCTTTAAAAGTATTCTGCCATATCTCTAAATTTTCTTGGAGCATAGTTATAAAATTCATTTATCAAAGATGAATTGATTGAGAAAATAATAACAGTAAAGAATAAATGAAATATACAGAAATTTTTACATAATAAAGATACAGAAATTTTTTGAGATTGTAGTTTTCTTAGGCATAATACAAAATTTAAAAAGAAAATTCTGTATTATAGTACTTAAGAAATTGAATTTTTAATGTGTGACTTTTTTGAGTCTAAAAGTACGTTTTTGTAACTGATTTTGTAATTGAATTCGTATTGTCAGCACTAATTAACACTAGAACATCCGGGACTTCGATTACCCCTAAACTTCCGCCGGTGTTAATTCGACACCGCAATGTTTAATATATAAAATAATTGTAATAACTAAATTAGTTCAGGACTATTGTTCAGTGGGGTTTAGTTTTAAGTCTTTTTTAATATTATTTCATGTAATTAACATATATTATGACTCGTTATACCATAAAAAACTATAGAAAAACAAATGACTTAATCTTACAAAATTAAGTAAAACGATAATATTCATAAATATTAGTATAAGAAAAATCGTAATTTTTTTGAGAATGCAAGTTTCTTAATTATTATTTATCATTTTCATGCATTATATTTTTGCATACCTGATTGCATTGGATTCAGTGGTATTAAATTTTTCCTGAACATTTTCCGCACACCATTTTCAAAATTTTTTTTAGCTGCATTTCCATTACACTCTTACATTTCAGCGTTTCTTAGACCTTTTCTACGAGTGTCTGCTCGGCATAAACTTTTAAAAATTATATGAAATTCCTTTTATGAGCAGATAACCCATACTATGTAATGAAAGTCTTAGACACAAAAATTTTAATTGATGTATTTCGACTGTGAACCCAATAACACTGCAGTTAAGGTCTAAAAATTGTGAGATAATACATTGGGAAGTTTGTTTTACTAATGGCATCTGCTTAATGAAATATCTTTTGTTAAACGACAGCTATTTATAACAATAAATTGCCCGGGTGTCGAAATGTCACCAAAGTACGTTCTTGGTACATTTAGTTGTAAAATCTCCCCTTATTGACCTGGAACCACAAATTTTTTTCTGTGTAATTGCGATAGAAAAGTCAAGAAAAATTTTCAAGTTATCTGCAAAAATGCAGAAAGAGCAAGCTAAACAGGCTCTGGTGTTCAATCGACACCGGTGGATTTTCTTGTGTTAAGAAGCATTTTCGATGTCATTCGTACCGTTAAGATTGGGTCATGGTAAGTATAATTCCGATTACTAAATTAAAAGAATTTAGAGTGGGTTTTTCTGTAAAGCAAAATAGCAATTAGCAAAGATTTCGCAGCACGTTAATATTATGAAACTAATGCTATATTCCATGCATATGGAAAATTGTTTATCTCCTTTCATACACACACTAAATAACAGATAGTTTAAAATAAGGTTCAAAGACATGCAAGTCTACGCTTTTTTTAATGGCATCTAGAGAACAACTGTCGTCCATGGACACGATAACAACAACGACATATAAATCTAAACAATATCTCTAGCAGTAATAATACAGATTTTCTTTCGTGTCGTTAAAAGAAATAAAATAAAATATTTTTAGGCTGAAATGAAATACGATTTCCTAAAAATATTAAAGAGTTCCTTAATTTTACTTGCTAGACGTCTAATTTGTATTTTTTAGGAATAATTAACATTAATATTTTTATTACTTTGAAGAGTAGATACATAAATGCTGACTAATATATGTTTGGAAACATTAATTAGTTATGGTTTATAAAATAAAATGGGTTTTTATTCAACTAAACAAATATTACGTACTTCGTTTCACGTCTAAATTTAGTTAGGATTCAAATGGCATTTCCGTTTTGAAACAGCGTCCATGATTCGTGTCAAAGGATTAATCAAAAGGCTAATTCGTTTGCAGTCGTAATAATATATGATAGCTAGATATTTAAATTAATTTATTTAATTTATAGTTTTCCACATGCTTCAAAGCATTTCACCAAGTTATTACTGATACCGTACGGTGTATCCATAAGTACACTGACTTTTTCTTAAAAAAATTACGACTGAAAATCTCAGTTAACGTAAGAAATACAGTTATTGGAATTACTATAGATAGGAATAATTTGGTCTAATCATAATTCATGTTTTTGATTGTAACACTTTTCAATAGATGATGCTAAAAACAATGAACCTAAAAATCAAAGAAAAACTGAAAACTATATCATAATATTTCGAAATTTATTAATAAAGGAGAATCATGCTGTGATTTTTCACAATTTCTCCAAGCACATGTCGTAATCGTGGAATGAGTATTTCCGCATCAAACGTAACGGCAATAATAGAAAAATGACTTATGGCGCAGCCCACTGGAAATTTTTTGAATAAAAACCGGAGCTTATAGAAGGAGTAATTAGGGATCAGAGAATATATTAGAAACAAATGTATGCCTCATCACAACAGCTTAATAGTTTTTCTGTTATATGTTTTTGAAAACGTCTCTCCAATTTAGGACACCATGTTTGATATTTCGAAATTAATAACAGTATAATTGTAAAATAACTTCTAAAATAAAGCTTCTCCAAAATTCCCATGCTTTAACATGACTTGTTCCTTCATAAAGAGTTTCAATAATGAAAAAAAAGTAAATATTAATTCGACAATTCCAAAATAAACCCCCCATTGCTACCATGAAGGTAACTGACAGCTGTACTTCTCATTTTTATTAATCATTTTAACATAAAACTACTTATTCATTTGTATCAAAATTTTTATTAGGGTATTAAACACTACATAAAATGACTAAAATATTATAAAATTGGAGGTTGGTTTGAAAAAAAAAATATAATTCGATGAAAAGTGCTTTACATATTTCACGTTAATACAAAGTCACACCATAGTCAAAGTGCTATTAAATAATTTCGATTTTATATAAACTAATATCTGCGTCTGAATGAAAAAATTAGGTACTTTCAATTGCCATTGTAAATTTCTCAGAATGTGAAATACTTAAAACAATGTTGAATAAAAGAATTGCTTACGGCAATGACTTTATGAAACGTTTTCTATTCGCACTGATACTTTACACGTCTGATCATATTATGTGTTACTGGTTCACTTAATTAGCGTCGCAAGTTATTCGATAAAAGAAACTTCATTCGAAAAATTAAGAAAACTTAAATTTAATCATTATACCTGCTTAAAATGAAATGGGGAAAATTGTAAAGTTGCATTTAAATATTTTCATTTAATTTAAAACCAATACATTCATATTGGAATACATCTCTTTAATTTTAAGCGACATATTTGAATTATAATAATTCCTTTAAGAATAAAGTATTTGTATTTCTAACAATAATGACGCTAAGAATTATTATATTATAGCTATTAAATTATAGTTAATTATTATATTTTAGTTATCTCCACTAGTTTTGCAGGGTATAGTTACCATAACCTTCTTGAGAATTAAGAGAAAAAATAATTTGGAATGAATTGGCTATTAAACAACTATCACTTGTTACAAATATTTTTATGAGCTTCTCACAAACTCAAACTGAATTTTCCAGAATGATCAACGAAAAAAAATCATTACACTAACTGTTTCTGTGATAGATAATTTTTGTGTCTGATTGTCTTTTTAAAATCTGTGAGTTTTAAATATTATTTTCCAAATAAATAATATAATTTCAAAACTTACCTTTTATAATCAATTAAAAGATGTAGCTTGAAAACTAAAAGCCAATTCAACTTATCAATAAAATTTATTTAGCTCAATTTCCTTCCTAATCAGCAATTGGAGCAATTAAAGCTTCAACTTATTTATTATAAGCCAAAAAACCTGCAATATAATAAAAAAATAACTCATTTATTAGATTTTATGAACCTCAAAATGAACTAAGATAATGTTAGATCACTATTAAATAAGGTTTTTCTATTGCGAAAGCAAAGCTTTGACGCAATTACCAATGGTTGACTAAAAAGCCATAAGAGTTAACCCTTTGGCACAGAATTTCTATTAAACATCCTTTTTCTTACTTTATTCATTATTTTGTTCAAATTTTGGTCAAAATAAGTGAGAAATATTATATTCAGCATTTTAATAACTTTTGGTTTTGTTCACGAAACACCGGTGTCTTCTTCTTAAATAATCTTCCAAACAATATTTTTTTCCGATTTGCACATATTTGCAGTTATTTAAATCTTAGATAAACACTTATTCATCATTGAAATTTCTTCAATTTGCAAAATCAATTATTGATAAATTTTTGAATACGAGAGTAAAAAAAAACTATTTTTTCAAACTAATTTTTTTTGGATTTTATATTTCAGCACTGACATAATTTCAACAATTTAACAGATATTTTAGGAATTATTAGACGGTTTTCTTTTTAATAATTACAAAATACCAAAATAAATGTTTGCTTGTAATCAGAGTGTCAGAAGAATAGGATCACCAGTATTAAATCTGTGTCAAAGGATTAAGGTTCCTCAATTTTTAGACCAACTGCATGGTTTTGTCAATGTGGACAGTTGTTGGCAATGTATGTGTGCATCAGCCACTTTTATTATTTAAATTAGCTTACATTGATAAAATAGAAAAGAGTTCGGCTTGAAGCTGCTACTAAAACACTTATCAAGCTGCTGCATCGACCTCTGAACCTACACAATGACAATTCATTCTCCTTATCACGTTTGCGTATTGCAAATATGGCAAGCATACAGACTTATTTATGTTTAAAAATTATCTTCTAAAATAGTAATTGATTGTTTTTCAGCAAATTATTGCTATGCTTTCCAGGTAACTAATGAAGAATAATTTCGTTTCTGTTTTTCTAGATGCACCCCAAGTAACACTCCAACTGGGAAGTACTTTTCGCCAAGGTGAAGTCAAAGAAGGTAACGATGTCTTCTTTGAATGCAACATTAGAGCCAATCCATGGGTTACAGAAATTTCTTGGTATTTTGAGGGACGGGAACTTCGCACGAATACATCAGCCGGCATCATTATTAGCAATCAAACCTTAGTACTACAAAATATTAACAGAACAAGTAGGGGGAATTATAGATGCTCTGCAACAAACGCTGATGGAGTGGGTACCAGTAATGAAGTTTTCCTACGAGTAAAATGTAAGTAAACTATACCTTACTATTACAAATATTAAATATTCTGTTTTATATAAAAATGGCTGTTTTTATTTAGATAAAGGAACATGTACGTTAAAACCTAATATTGAGCAATCTAATATGTACTCCGCCATTCTGATAGGATTTTTCTCCTCCATATAGTTCCTATAAAGTTTCATGTCTCTATGGTACAGTAGAGTTTTGTACTCCTTTTTATTTAGTTCCCTTACATTTTACTGTTCTTTTTTGTATTTTGCTGAAACATTTTAATTATACATCTTTCGTCTTCTTAAATTTACAATGCTTTGCCAAAATAGTTGATCCTGGCTCATGTGTAATAAAAATCTTTTTTGCATTTTATTAAACTCACTATCTTAATAAACTGTGTTTAAATATGATGATTTTCGCAAATTACTCTACTGTATTACTCCTTATCAATATCATTACATTAAACGCCTAAATTTAACTTTTAGGTCTAGATTACAAAAATACAACTTAAGTTTTAGTAACTAAAACTACATTCTTACGGCGATAAAAAATTATTCATAATCTAAATGACACCCTTAATATTTTGAATATGCTATTTTTAAAATATTTTGTTTAAAAAAATACCAATCATGCAGCCTGTTTATACTATTTGTATTTTTTGTGAGGTTTTTGTGATGTTTCAAAGGTTAGTTACGTCACTAACTGTGTCTGACGCATTACTTTTAAAAATTATTAATATATTTAAAGTTTAAAATCTAATTGTTTACATTGAATACGATATTTAGATATTATATATTATACGATATTTAGGTATTATATATTATACGATATTTAGATATTATATATTATACGATATTAGATTATTATACGATCCACAAGATATTTAGTCGTGAAATGAGATAAAGTAATTATTTTTCTTTTCCTTTGAGCTCCATTATATTAAGGAATTGCTGAATCTAGAATGTATAAGTAGATCTGAAATCGGAAAGCTGAGATATTTGAAACCTAAATGTCAGTTAACAAATTAAATTATTTACCAAATTTCGATACAAATATATTTCAATTGTTTTTAATAATAATAGTATTCTGATTAATATTAAACTAGCTCGATGCGCTTAGCGATAAAAATGTCCATTTTAAAGTAAAATGAATAAATTAATTAATAAGCAAATACTACGACAGCATGATTCTTCATCGCCTTACGAGATCATCATCAACAAAACCGATTATTTTTATTTTTTGAAATGCCGGATGCTATTTAGGCAAAGTATAAAATAATCGTCCTGATGAGGTTATTATGTAAATGGTGTGCATGTTACTGTGAATGACCGAAATCGGTGGGCGTTGACTTTCCCCGGTGAATGTTGACAATCAAATTAGTCGCTTTGGTGAATGTTCGAAATATTTATTACATCCGATTTGATATTGATTTATTCATAGATATAATTACATGTATTCGATATTTTAATACTGACGATAGATTAGAGCAAACATCAGTGTTTGGAGTATCGGGCAAATATATACCGGGCAATGGCACTTGACCATAAAAAACCATCAGTGTAGGGTATACCGGGCAAATGTATAAAGGGCAGTGGCACTTGACCTTAAAAAACATCAGCGTAGGGTATACCGGGCAAATGTATACCGGGCAGTGGCAATGAACTTAGAAAAACATCAGTGTAGGGTATACCGGGCAAATGCATACCGGGCAATGGCACTTAACCAGACCTAGTATGACTAGACCTTTGGTAAATGTCCGAAATATATACTAGGTCTAGTGCCACTTTTGCTATAGCTTAAATACTTTTAAAAAAATTAAAAAAAAGCATTTGAATCAATTTTAAACTGATAACGAAATTATTGCTTTTAAATCAAAAAAAAAATAATAAAAACTGCTCCAGATAAGAGTAATTGAAGTAGTTGCTTTATGCAGCGCATGTACGCGAAAAAATTTTAAAAAAATTATCCACGTGCATCTAAAAGTGGATGAATATCCCAAGACACCTGTCAAGATGCATTCGAAACAACAGCAAAGGCTTTTACGTGTCACTTGTAATTGATTATTTTTCATCAACTTCAATTCAGTGATTACAGTGTCTAATTAAGAAATGTATCAGCTATTTTTGCAAGAAACCTTCATTTATATACACATTAATAGAAGGAATTACACCTTTTATCCTACAATTAATCTTTTAATTGAAAATGGAAGAAATATCACTCATAATTTTCAAATGCTTTAAATTAACAAAATTTTATAGACATTAAATGGAATTCTACTGAATCACAGTGTTAAAAATTTCTCAGCGAAGACGGTTGGGTAGAAATTTATTTAATGGTTATTTTACCTTATTCAACAACAACGGTCAAATAATCTTAAAATAATTATATTGAAGCTGTTCAGTGTGAGAAAAAAAAGTTTATTGACTGTTTCTACCGAATATGGTTTAACAAACAGAATTTGATCAACTCCAACAAGCCCTACCATTTTAAGCAAAGTCGTTCCTTGCTGCTGGGTGCATGCTGTTGTGGAAGGGGCTATTCGGTCAATCTTATGACTGACTGAACAGGGGTTCGTGTCCAAGCACCGAATGTTTCTTCCATTCCTTCAATACATGAAAAGTTTCTAGAGTCCTGCACTCTTCAATCGATGACTATGGATTATTAGAATATGAAACTATCATAAATGGTGTAGCTCCAACAGAGCTCCACTGTCCCTATAAGTTTTATTTTATGGTTTAGAAACAAGTATGTTACTAAAGAACTAGTTATAAATGGTTACAAAACCGTATAGTTTTGTATTCACGGTTTTTTATCCGTACCAGTTGTAAACAATTTCAAAACCGTAAACTAAAGAAATGTTTCTAACCAAAAGCTTTATTGTTAATCGGAAAAATAGACCGGCTTTCTGTAAAATAACTTTTAAAAGCAGTTTTATTTGGATCGCAAAATAAACGGAGAAAAGAATACTTTTTTCTGATTGTTTTAATATGAATTGTGCCAACGAGTGTAACGATTTGTTTCAATGGGATCTTTTGATTTATAAAGTAAATTAATCAATTAGAATAAGTAACTACTTTTAAATTAGAACTGTATCCCATAAACTAGTCTTTTATCGAAGACGCCAATAGATTAGAAGACATCGTTCTCCTAAAAAAAGTTAGGAAACTCTTTTAAATTCCAAAAAGAAAGACATCACCGGAAGATAAAAAGGAAAAATCCCTTTAAAACGTAATTGACTGTCACGGAACTTTTAATGGGATAAGAATCTGGAAAGAGCAAGAAAGAAGGTTCATTATTTTTAGTGTCCCTCTGATTTAGTGGTTTCTGTCCGTGGAAACCAAAATCTGATAATTCCATCTTATATGACCTGTTTAATTAGACTCGTTCGTTATCTCTTCCTTTTGAGTCTAAAAGTGATTGAAGCCTGAGAAGTATTGGGAAGCAAATAAGATTTAACCGAAAGAGCTTCTGTAGGAGGTAAATTGTCTGGCGCGTTGTGAAAATGTTCCATTGAGCAGATGGGTCTGCGTTAAAACATTTGTTTTAATCCTTGTCTCGCACCATTTGTCGTTGCTGTCAAGATAAATGTACCCGGTGCAGTTGTAAATTACTTGGTTGTTTCACTTTCTGTGTTTTGCATGCATTCATTACGTCTTTCTACTTTGTTGAATATGTGGCGAGTCTGGAAACAATTTTAATTTGAAAATATAGTGGATACCCGAGGCCGGAAAAGTCGACAAAAAATTAATTTCTTTTTCCTTGAACGGGAGCATTTAGAGGATTTTGTACTTCATAAATCACTTTTTCATACTCATTAATTATGTAAATTGTGCATTTTTCGGCAATATGTATGTAAAATTGATGAAGACTGGTTTTAAAAGGTCTCCAGTCCCCTGTCATAACTCTTCTCTACAAATAATAGGCTATTTTTACAATTTTTGTAAGTTTGTTGCAATTACTTATGTATGTGGAATTAAGTTTTTCCTATTCTTAGCCAGTAACCTATATGCTAATAATGAAAATGGCGCAAAACGTCATTGTAAAGAAAATCCACCGTTTAGTGAAAATGAAAAGCGTTTGTGTGACAAATTTTAAATGTTTACGAAGCTAACACTAACGATGCATTTTCTAGGATTATATAAAAATTCAAAAATTGGTAGTTAATAATTGATTTAGATAATTTTATCAAGTTTGTAAAATTTCGCCAAATTAATGATTTTATTTTTAAAAAAGTTTTTTTAATGCTTTTAAAATATTTAAGTTAACTATCATTTCTAGAACCCAGATGATTCTTTATGGCAAGATAGTTTACATAGTTCAAAATTATAGCTTTACCACAAGAGTAAGGCTCTTAAACTGAGAGTTTTTTTTCGTTTAAAGAACTTTGAAAAATACTGCTAAAATAGTTTATGTAAGGAGTGAAAGGCTAAATTGCGTATTTTAACAGTTAAGATGATTGATTTAAAAAAATTTAAAATCATTTATTTCTTTGAAACTTTTTTTTTCTTTTAATATAATTCAGCATCTCTATTAATCTCCCATATGCTCAAGAATAACAGAATTCTAATATTTCAATGAACACTCAAAAGATTTCAATGAAATTTGGTATAAAGATAGATTATTAAAAAACAAATGAAATAAGCATTCCACAGTTACGCAAGCTCATGCGTAAAATCATCTACGGGGTCAGAAGAAATTAAACCGGGTTTGCAAAATCAACCAAAAGGGAATTAATAAGGTTTGCGATCTGCTCCTAGTTTACCTTAAATGTATACAGGGAATTATGTAGATCAAGTTTTCTTAAGTTTTCTTGCATTCTAGAAATTGTGTTCTCAATCCCTGGTTGATTGTTACATGGGAATACGTGTCGTAATTGCACTCATTTGAGTAACCCATTCTTGTTTGAATTGGAATTTAGAGACCTAGCGGACTATTACATACAACGAATATCTTTACATACCAAGTACGCTTGATCGAAAGGAGAATTAGAGACGAAGTATACCATCGCACGCAAC